AAGGAAGCATGAAGTGCTTCAAAATCTCCTGGTAGACGGCTGCGTTGACCCTGGTCTTAATGAAGCACAGTGGTTCAAAGTCCTGTTGCTCAGTGGTCCAAAGTCTTCTTTTCTGATGAGAGCAACTTTTGCATCTCATTTGGAAACCAAGGACCCAGACTATGGAGGAAGAATGGAGAGGCCAATCAAGCACAGTAATCCCACGGTCATTGAACCAGGTCTTGGTGCTTTTGAAATAAATGAACTTTTGCAAGATATTCTAATTTTTTGAGTTTCACCTGTACAGTTTAGTGCTTAAACCACAGGCTTCTTCCTCCCAACATCTAAGGCAACAGCCATGTCATGCTTGGGGGTGGAACAACAGCTGTAGCTGAGAAATCTTGATATAAAATTTCTCTTGAACCTGGGAAAAGATGGTTGCTGCCTTTCCAGCTTTAATCCTAAGAGTTTGTTATAGTGTTTATTTATTTATTAAATTTATATGCCTTCCTTTGCACCTATAAGATGGCGGACACACAGCATTCATTGTTTGGAATCAAGTTCACTCTACAAATTAATTCTGAGAACTCATTACTTGTTTCCTCTTCTATACAATCTATACTGAGTCCTTTTCTCCCCAAAGTTCAAATGTTATTATTGATGGTTGTTCCTTGTGGGTTGAAAAGGGAAAAGAAGCTCTTTTCGGAACCTTTAACTTTTTTTTTAATTTGACAAGCATTTGTTGTCTCCTTTTTTAATGGGAAAATTATACATATTGACCCTTCAAGCTAACACTGGTTGATAGTGTACCCCGAGATTCAACTTCTACATGTCTACTCCCTTTAATAAGCACTTAGTGGACAAACTAGAAAGAAATGCAGATAACAAGGCAATTTACCTCATGGAACTTTGCATCATTAATCAGAGCCTTCTTCATAGAATCCTCTAGAATGACAGGGCCGTTACTGAAGCCGAAATCATATTGCAGGTACAGATATCCATTTTGCATCTCCAGGCTGAAAAACATACTCTGCATAACCACAAAATTAGATGTTTCAGAAAAGATTGGAATTTTTAGAAGTTAAAATGTATATTTTATACTCTTCTTCATAGATAAACCTATTAATAATAATTAATTACTATATTGCTTCCTATTATGATAGTTCTTGAAGCAATTTACAATCAACAGGCAACGTTCAAATACAAGGAATAACCTAAAGCAGTATAAAATGATATGAAAATAATATCCAAATAACTTTGAATAATCAATTGGATCTTCTTCAGAAACAGAATTTAAATAATTTACTTCTTAATATATCTGAACAGATATATATCAACAAGATAAGAACTCATAAAACGTGTTGTTTCTTTTCCCCTTTTACTTACTCCATTAACCATCAGAAGGAGAAGACCATTATCACTTGGTGTTCGAACTTCTATATCAAAACGAGTCACAAGACCAAACTTCCCTCTGCTCTCAATATTCTTTGCCAAAGCATAACCCGAACCATCAAAGAAATAGTTTACAACTCGGCTCTGTGTAAAGGCCAGTTTATCTCTAACATGAAGAAAAAAAAGACATAAAGAAATATTAGGAAACTGGACTATATCCCACACTCTGGAGATCTAACATAAAAACCAGACTCAGGTGGAACAAACTGACATAATTGTTTTGAATGGCAATTGATTATCTAGTCTGGCATTCATTGTATGATTTAGGAGATATATTTCTGAAGTGTTTACTGGGAGGGCAGGATTAGCCCTGCTGTTAGGATGAGTCAAATGACCCAGATCATTTTCTGCTTTTCCTATCGGGGAACAGAATTGAATAGCCCCAGGACATGTCATAAACTATTTACCGCTTTGGGTATGATAAAATAGAAAGAGAGCGCCATTTTGCTTTTCACTCTGGGATCTTATTTTCAATCATTTTGTACTAAATACTTTTGATACTGGAAATGCCTAAAAAAGGTTAACATAATTTTGGATAGGTCTTAAATATGCTGAGCTGAAAAGGATGCATATTAACTAATGGAAGGAAAGAATACTCAATGGGTGCCTTTTGAATAAAAGAGCAATGTCTTAGAAATTAAAACAGAGTCGTAAAAATAAGGAATGATCCCATTCCCATAAAATCTAAATCTATTGGTCAGGAGTTATGTGGGCCTAGATAGGATATAAGCCAATCAGAATTTTGAGAAAAGGGGTAAACAATCAGACCAATGCAGTGGTGCTCTTCATCCATTTCTATCCGGTTCGGGTGAACCGGTAACAGCAGCGCCGGGAGGCTCCACCCATCCTCCCAGACATCAGCATGTCCCATTTTTTTACGCTCTGCGCAGCACAGAGGTGGTGCATGAGAATGAAATTAGTGCGTGTGCAAATGCACTCACATTTGCAAACCGGTAGCGAAGGTAAGTGAATACTGGACCAATGTTTTGTCTCATATGGAAGGTTCCCTTGATCTCCTAAGCTTGATCATCAATGCAGCCTGTGGAGTGGATCTCATACACATGTACTTTATGCACCTGTGCAGCCTCCCACTTTCTTTTCACCCCACCATATTTACATCTGAAATGTTTGAAGACTGGTTAAGAATTAAACATTCTACAGCCCTGCCTACCAAAACAGGGCATATATTAGTTTTGATTGGTACAGACATCTACCTTTTGTTGAATTAATATTTGTTAACTGTGATAGGCAAATGGCTTTTGATTGCGTAGTTGAGATCAGCCAGTGTTTTGGATGCATTTCCACATGGTTGAGATTATAGCTGCTGGAAGTTATGGAGTGTCAGCATGCTCTCCTGCTTCCAGATACTTTGGGAACTCCAAAAATCACAAAACTCTCTGGAGCTATCTGGCCACTTGGTAAGTCTTGTTTTTGGAAATGATTATACCCAAGGTAAAAGTACTTTTATTGACTGACTGAGGAATTGATTTGTTCAAGCTATCCAAGGCAGACCAAGTTAATCTTACCTGATACAAGGTATTGATTTGGTAATGTTATAGATGTTTTTGAAATTATACAGACTAATAACATCATCATTCAGAGTAGCAAGCTCCAAGCAGCCAATGAAGCCCGGCAAGTCCAAGCTTGGAGGGAGCTTTAAAGAGAAAAAAACACAATTCAGATCAATCTCATAAGCCTCAAAGGTTTATTCTTTAGTTTAGTGAGCAAAAGCATATTTTGCAACTTCTCCTTCTGCTTGTTGAATTATTTAAACTCAATCCATTTACATCTAGACTAAACTGATGAAGCCTATGGTTCTTGCTCTCAGTTACTGATCATTTTCTCATTACTTGCAACACTGATTTAGTGCCCCCCCTCACATTTACACACATTGTGTGTATGGTTGTGTGTGTAGGTCTGTGAGAGCATATATAACTATCACACACATATACATACATACATACATACATACATACATACATACATACATACATACATACCCACACCACACACACAAACATTTCTTTCTATCTCCCCCCTTCTCCCTCTTCCTTTCTCCCTCCCCACTTCTCTCATCTATTTATTTCATTTTTATCCCCCTTCTTACAGTCCCTGAGCATTTTGCAATACATCAAGATGAAGTTTTTCTTGTGGAATCCACTTGGCTGTTATCAACCTTGAACAATTACCTTACACTCGTTAATTGGAAAATTATTATTATTGTATTATAAATATTACATTTCCCCTTTCCTGAGTGTATTCAAAGCAGAATAAATGGGAGTTTCCTTGTTTTTATTTGTGACAAAATAGGATGTGATTGAAAGAGAAAGATTACCCCCTGTCACCCCATGAGGTCTATATTTGAGAGAGAAGTTGAACTTGGTCCAGGGCCAAAATCTTAATCACCACACTGCTCTGGCTCTGGCTTTAGTCTTGGGGATTACAGGTAGTCCTTGATGTGCGGTCATAGTTGGAACCAGAATTTCTGTTGCTAAGCAAAATGGTTGGTAAGTCCAATTTTTGTGCCCAATTTTAAAGTGAATCACTGCAGTCGTGAAGCGAACCATGCAGTCATTAAGCAAACTCTGCTTCTCTCATTGTCTTTGCTTGTTGGAAGCTGGTTGGGAAGGTCACAAATGGCAATCACATGACACTGGGACATGGCAATTGTTGTAAATGGATGCTGTTTGCCATTTCATCCGTTCATGCATCTGAATTTTGATTACATGACCATGAGATATTGCAATGGTTGTAAGTGTGAAGACCATTTGTAAGTCACTTCTTTCAGTGTTTTGGTAATTTCAAATGGTCACTAAACCTATGATTATAGGTTTGTAGTAGGTCGTTTGCCCAGAGCTGAATTACCGTATTTTCACCCATATAACCCGTGGGTTATATGCGTTTTTACATACATAGCACGCCCCCGCGGGGTATAAAAGTGGGCGGGGTATACGAAAAATATTTTACACAGATTAACTACCGGTAAAGGGAGAGCTTGGAACCACCACTTTCGTCGCGGGTTATATAAGTGGGCGGGGTATACGGAAAACATTTTACACGATCTTCAAAACCTGCGGGTTATTCACGTGGGCGGGTTATTCGCGTGGGCGGGTTATATGGGTGAAAATACGGTAAACATATCTGGATACTTGCTTTTCCCTTTCCCTTTCAGAATATGCTGTTATCATCAGCAACAGAAGATCGTGTCCAGATTGTTAGCATATGGCATTGGATGCAACACGACTGTAATCTAGTTTGCACATTTCTTTATCTCAGTTAAAAACACAGGAACAGGTTACATGAACTGAAACCAATTCTAAACTGTCTGTCATGTTATCCATTAGGAAATGTTAGGATGAAATAATTGTTTTATTTAAAGCTGCCTCATTTTTTTTTGCAAGAGGCTTCACAATAAAGGTGTCATCTTTAATTCAATCTTGAAAAAGACTGAGCATTCGCAGAGACAATGCACAGAACCATTATTGCTCTTACCTTAAAACCTGGAGGCACTCTTCCCACATAGAAAACAGTATTTTCAGCATCCAGATCCAATAAAGAAGCATCACCTGGAGCCTCTCCTTTATTGATAAACTTTTCCTCAGCCGTGCTGGTAAGGCTGGGGATTGTCAAAAACACTTTGCCATGCTTGCCAATCCTATTGAAGAAAAGTGAAAAATGGAACTCCTGCAATTGCTTGATTGAATGGTTAACAATTTCTACATCAGGAGCTAGTCAACATTTTCATTTAACGACACCCATAATCCCTTGCGTAGTGGAGTCTGGGCAACTGAATGGAGCTAGCAGAGTGTTTACTGGCTGGATCCCCTTCCTGACACCAATGCAAAGAATCGTTCAGCAGATATATTCTCATTGTGTTGAGAGAGAGAAATATTTGCCTCTACTTAGGATCCAACTCACAGCCTCCTGATTGTGAGGCGAAAGCTCCTCCTCTAGGCCACTGCACCACTCCTTTCAAGAGAGAGTAAGGGAGCAAGGGAGAATGATTTATTTTCCATCAAACTTTGCTTAACATTATTAGTATTCTCATTGATGAACTCTATGATTTTGATCGATCAAATCTCAAGATTATTTGGGATACAGGTTGAAATACTCCAAAGGAGAATAATGGGAGAGTGCTTCCGTTGCTGATTTTATTTATCTATAATGGATTGGAATAACCTTCCTTTTAGAACTTTTTAGCATATTCAGTGATCATTTTTAAAAAATGGTAGATGTTGTGGCCTAGCAGGAGCTGTTGGAGCTGCCGATGGACTCCGATAGTGAGGAACCCTATGAGTCTGCTATGGAAGATGTGGAGGATCCTGGGCAGGGTTCAGACTCAGAGCAGGGACCAGAGAGGCTAGTTGGCCACCAGGAGGTGCCTGAGGCATGGAGCAGTGGGGAAGATCAAAGGGAGTTTGTCCCTGACGCCAGGCAATGAAGGGCAGAGAAACGGAGGCAGCAGTTATGGAGACAGACTTATAAGAGATAATCAAGCCCAGGTGGTTGTAGCTTGGCTCCTCCCAAGAGAATATATAAGAAGAGACTTTGGGAGGAGTCCTTTTGCAGGACACAACAGTTCATAGTAATCTGGAGAACTCCATGTCTGGTCTGCCTTGTGTTCCGTGTCCGTTGGAGTCTGGGTTGCTGCCAACATCTTGCAAGTGAGTCGTGTTTGGGCTTTCAGCCAAGAGGATTGTAATTGCTGTGAATAAGGAGTGGCAAACAGCTAAGCCTGTGTCTGTATTCATTACCTGATGGAGGGGGGCCAGAACAGAAACTAATCCAGGAGAGAAGCA